AATAAAACTGTGGAAGGAAAAAGAGGAAAACAAAACATTCCTGTCAAATCCACCGGGGCTGTGACAAAGTTCTTGGTAAACCACTGGTCAGAACGTGTAATGCATTTTTGCCGAGAAGCAAAGCTTCTCAGGATAGATAGGGAAGCAGAAAGGGTCACAAAGACCTTTTGACCTGTGAGGTGTCTGACAGGTAGCAGTCAATGCCAAGTCCCTTCATCTAATCACCCAACCCTCCAGGACCCAGTGGTCCCATATGACACTGCCTCAGGGGGCATACATGGGTCCATCAATATAGCCGATGATTTTGTTACACAAAATGTTACTGCATTACCTTCCGTGTCTCAGGCATCAGGCTAAATGCTTGGCTATAAAGACAGAGAGGACAGAGATTCTTGACCTTGAGAAGCTCATGACCTGGGGCACAGGACCACTGGCATGGCCACTGGTCATAGGCTATGTAACAGAAGTGCGTATAACGTGAGGGCTCTGGGTGGGGGCTCCGGGCAGGCCTCAGAGAGAAAGCGAGGTGTGAGCCTTCTGTTCTAGAAGGAACAGAAGCGTGCTCCGACACAGAAGCAGAAAACAGGCATTTCCAGCAACGAGAACTGTGCTGGCAGAGAGGCGTGAAAAGGCCTGGCAGAGCCGGAGACAAGCAGACAGCTTGAGAGTGGAGGCTGCAGACGGATGGTGACCTGCAGACAGATTTTGGTGGGGCCACCGCGTGGTTTATACATTTGAGCCACATTTAGAAATGGAGCTATTTTATGAAAAAGTCCAGATTTCCTGCTTCTCTTGAAAAAGAAAAAAAAAAAAACGGAAAATCTGGCCACCGTGCTGGATACCCAGGAGGAGCAGGAGGGGAGGCGTGGAGCCCCCTTCTGAAGAGGTCTGGGCCCTCCAGCTCTTCACAAGGGCTGCCTCCCACCCCAGATTCCCCGACTCAGGCGTTCGCATTCACGCTTCCACCAAACAGCCCCACTCATTCCGATTACCAGCTTCACTCCTGGAAGCATTTGAATTTCTTGCCTCTGGCTAAGCATTCTTGGAAATTAAAGAGCAAGCAGGGGAAAGATTGGCAGAGTGTCCGTGGGGAGCCATCATCAGCCCCTGGGCCGAAGGGACAGGGAGAGGGGAGGAAGTGGTGGAAATGAAGTGTGGTGAGGGCCCAGCCCTGGGGTGTGAATCCTGTGCAGCAGGGAGGGAGTGGGGGTGAAACACCTCAGCTCTCCCCTGGGGCCACCCAGTGGCCATACCAGAAGCCACGGGGTGAGAGGACCCTGGGCAGGCTGTCCGCAGGGGCACAGGGCAGACCGTGGATCTGAGAGGGCAAGTCACCAGCACACCTAGGCACTTAGGGATAGAGAGAGCCAGAAAAGGCCCTCTCCTGAGAGTCATTTGGGCTGTGGTCCCTCTATGGGGACCCTCCTAAGAATGGTGAAGCCACAGGCTTGAATGCCAGCAGGTGGGAGGGAAGGGGTTGGGCAGGGCCTGAGATGCCCCCTCCATTACCAGGAAGGCCTGGGAGGCCACAAGACCCATAGCAGGACAAGAGCAGGACAGAGGCTCAAGTCTGGGCTCACAGACTATTCCAGAAGGGGGCTGTGGGAAGGCTTGGAATGCTGGTAGCCCATCGACCCTTGGACAGGAGGCAGTGGTTAGAGTGCTGGAGGAGGACTGGACCCCAGAGGCTTTGCAGGACATGGTCGAGTCCACCAGGGGACCCCCTGTGCCCTGGAGGTCACCCAGCTGCTGCTCAATGGCTTTGGTGGTGGGGAGTCCCCTAGCCCAGGGGGAGGCTCTGGCTATGAAAAAGACCCTCTATTGAGCAGAAATCAACATTTCTGCCTCTGGCTCTACTCCTTGAGGCCACGCTGCACAACATTCTCTACAAGGACAGTTTCCTCACTCCTCTGCGTCCTTTGCCACTTCTAGGGGTCGCAAACCAGGAGCATGACCCTCTGCTTGTGGCCCCATTTGCCACTGGCTCCCTGGAAATATTTCTCATGACACGTCCCTTCTTCTGCCTTGAACTGAAGGTCGGCAGAAGATCAGAGAGTGGAGCCTCCCTTGAACCGGACAATATATTAGTGGCATTTCGGAGAGCACTAGATTTTTTTTATTCCAAAAATCAGGCTGAGCAAGTGGGAATTTGCAAACTTTATCTCAACAGCTCCCTCAGCTAGAGAGGCAGGAGCTAGACAGACAGGCACTGGGGCCCAGTAACACCCCAGGGGAGCACAGCCAGCAAGCAGCAGGCCTGCAACCAACCCCGGGTCTTCGCCCCCAGGCCTCCTTCCACCACAGGGGTCCAGAACCCTTGCACTCTGGCTCACTCTGCTGCGGGATCTCCTTTGGGACCAAAGGCAGGTGGGAGAGTCACGTCGCTTCTGTTCTGACCGGCCAGGGTTTAAATGACCCTGGCTCCTCCCAGCACAGCTCTTAGGGGAGGTCACATTTCAGACCTGAGGATTCCTTCTGGAACATGCAGGGCAGCCCAGCTCCAGGTAGTGGAGCTGTTCCTTTGACCCCCTCTCAGCTGCATTCTCCTGACCTCCCGGGAGGGGCTCCCTGGCAGGACTGGGGCTTGCCCCGGGGGGCTTCATGGCACAGGGCAGCCTCTGGTCCTACGGTACCCGAGCAGCAGCGGGCCAGGGCCTGAAGCTTCCACAGGAGTAAATGTCCCTGGGGAGAGGCTTTTTTTTGCTTTTTCTTTCTCTCTCTCCTGTTTCCCTTTCGGCATAAGTGTCACCATGTTTTTATTCCCAGTTGCAAAACTTGGTTCCTGAAAAGCCGTCGCCCACTTGTGCGTGACCTCAAGGGCTAGTCACATGGTACTCCTTACAGGCTCCTCTTCTCAGAGTTTTCTCACTTCTCTGACCTAGATGATCCCACCTAAAAGCAAGTCCAGGATGCCCTGCTTCCCTAGGGGCTACCACCTGCTGGATAATGGGACACGGAAGCATGGACGGGGGTGGGGGGATGGGCTGGGTGGGGACCAGGCAGTCACAGCCCCAGCCACGAGACCGCTCCTGTGCCGTCTTCTCCCTGGGCTGTGGTGTGTTTAGAAGGCAGTAGGGAGATTTTAAACAGATGCCCCAGCGCCACCCCGACAGATTCTACAGTTTGATTGATCTGGGGTGAGAGACACTAGCTTCATGGAAAAAGCATTGCTAGCCCCAGGCTGTGTGCCCACGAATACGTCACTGTCTATTTTTGAAGGTGAAAGGCTGGGACAGAAACCTCAGGGCCTGCCGAAGTAGCAAGTGCAGAGAGCAAATGTGGAAGAGGGGGTTTCAGAAGATGGAGCAGGGAATGCTGGTGCTGGAACTCCTGGGGGCTCCCGGGCAAAGAGCTCGGAGTTGGCAGGAGACAAGGTGAGGTCACACACACCCCAAAATGGGGCGAGGCAGGAGGCAGGGACACCGGGACCAGGCAGAAGGGGGGGGGTCTGAAGTTTGGGCCAACAGCAACCAAAAAGACTAGCCCTGTCAGTCCAGATCATGGATTCAAGCTGGCAACCACCGCAAGTAGCCTGGATAAATGAGGGAAGATTGACTCAAAGTTCATCGGCGCCTTTTCCTGGGGGGAGTGCTGCCTGCAACATCCCGGACAGTCCAGGGCAGCTGGCTAGAACCAGGGGCGGCCACCCGATACTGGCTCTGGCAGAGGGGGGCCCGGCAGGAGGGCTTGGAAATCAGGGAGAAGGAGCGGGACAAGAAGAACACCCCTTGGGTTAGAAACAGGCCTGGAGAGGTCCCTGGAGATGGAATAGGGTCAAGGGGAGGGAGGGAACATGGAGTAAGGGGAGCAGGTCTCTCCCTCCTTCTCCCAAGAGGTGGATAAAGGCTCTGTTGAGGGACAGCTACCAGGCCAGCACACTTGGGACAAGGAGTTGCCTAGGTTTTCATCTTCCTGCAGGTCAGGGAGATCCTAAGCCCTCTGGGGCCTGGACAACGGGGTCTGCGGGCTTGCCCTTGCTCCTGAAGCTGAGCATCCCCTGGGACCAAGATCTCATGCCGTTCCGCCAGTTTTGCTCTCTGCTGCATGAGCTCCTCCTAGGTCACACGCGTGAGGTCCACACATGGGTTGGAAGAGCAGGGGGTTTAACCATGGGGATTTAAGTGCAGTGAGGTTTTTAAGAACTGGGGGGATAGTTGCAGAAAGTTCCTTACAGTGAGAAACTGGGCAGTGGGGAACGGGGTGGGTGACTGAGGGTGGTGGGGGTCAGGGGTGGACGGGCCGGTTTTCTCCTTCAACTAGGCTGAGCAGAGAAATTCCAAATAAGTGCAGGCCTTAAGTCATGACCATACGTTCTGATGGCCATTAACTCTGAACACCTAAGGGGTAAAGTGTGTTGTTTCATTTCCTCCGCAAAGCCTCTATAAAGCTTTTCCTAAAAACTGTGGCCCCATACTAACTTGCCCTTCGCTGAGTCCTAGAGGACAGTGGTTTTCAAACTTGAGCATGTATTAGAAGCACCTAGAAGGTGGAGGGGGGCGTGGGACACCTCTGGAATTGAACAGGTCTGGGGAAGAGGCTTGAAAATTTGCATTCCTGAGAAGGTCCCAGGTGATGCTGATGCTGCTGGTCTGGGGAGCACACCTGGAGAACCACAGCGATTCACACGTGCTCTCTACCTTAACAGTTTAGGTTTTCTTTGAAAGTTGTCTGCAATTGGTCCAGAATTAGTTTTTGCATGTTAGTCTCTCAGCCAGATCTCAGTTCCTTCGGAGGCAGGGATTGTGTGTTTTATATTTTCCTCTGCATCATTTAGCATATTGTCAGATACATAGCAGATGAAAGACTAATACACTGGGAACTTCGGAGGATTCGTTTTCTTCAAGCAGACAGGGATCAACTCTGGTTAACTTTAGGATTCCCTAAATTTGCAAAAGAGCATCTAATTTTTCCTCATCATTCACATGTGTGGGGAAAATTCTTAATTTTTCAGCAATACACCAATCTCATGAAAGAAAAGCTCCAGTCTTGATTTAGGAAAAAAAAAAAAAAGAGTTCATTCCTTCATCCTTCCAAACAAGGTACAGTACAACTGGACAACAATGCACATGACTGAAAAACACAGCTGCATTTTATATTGCTCACTACTCTTTAAATAAGTATAATTCAGATATTAAGGAAAAGAACTGCTAATCACATTAACACATTATAGAAATCAAAATTAACTTATCACACAAAATAAATTAAAACATTAAATATTAACCTTTTCAGTGCAACATATACAGAAGTCAGAGTAACAAGTTCTAAAAAAAAAAAAGCATCAGGTTTGTTATAATAAAGATAATGAAAAGTTGAATACTTCAGTAAGTTACTACCCTAGGAAGAAGGGCTGCTTTTCAGGACTGTGGGTATGTTCACCACGAGGTCTTTCAGAGAGCCTGGTAAAATCAGCAGCTGGAGAGGACCGGCCTTATGTTCCAACATGGAGAACAAACGTATGTGTTCGTCTCGTGTCTGTGATGTCCCCTTTGGGGCCGGGCTTTTGCATCCTTCCCTTCCTTGGCCAAGCAGGTTGGGAGACACCAAAGCCCAGATCCTACTGGGTGGGCAGGGTCTCCTGAGTAGCGCTGGAAGCTTGTCGATCCACTTCTGCCAAAACTGCTGGGAGAAGCGACTTGTGGCCCAGGCACAGCGAGACAACCCGACCCCGCAAGATCTGGCTGAAGATGCACCTTCTCCACCTGCAGGGCACAGTTTCCCAGGAAGCTCTAGAACCACACCTCCTCCTGCCTCACCAATGCCCTGGTGGCCAAGTGTCAATCCCACCTCCTCCTTTCTTAGGAAAATAGACTCTGGGACACTGCGCCCACCTCCTCTGCTGAAACACAATGGCCAAGCTCATATCTTGCTTGACTTCGTGTGTGTCAGAAGCATCTTCCAGATCAGGGTTGGCGGCTATCTTTCCATCTCGAAGAAAAGGTTTCTGGCCAGTATGCTTAGAGATGTCACAGCCTGTAGAGCAGTGGGAGAATCTAGGCTCCATCAAATATCTGCAAGCACCCCCTCCCTTTTTTTAATGGGGGCTTTTCATTTCTCCTGAGCTAGACATTGGAAGCAGCTCTGCTTCCCGCTCCCAGGTGTGCGGCTGCTGACCAGGAAAGGCCTCAGGAATGAATCCCCAGTCATAATCCTTGGCTTTCTAGAGGCCAAGGAAACACAGGGAACCTGTAAGGATGGATTCGAAGATGCATTTTTAACCTCAAAACGGGGGCATTTTTACAGCTAACTCAAAATGTACCAACACCATGAAATGGCCCAGGAATCCAATGCTTGCTGGCCATCTGATTTTTAAAGAGAAATCACCAAGAAGCAAGGCTCTCCTATCCTGGGCATGGATGAAGGTCCGTCCAGGCCTGCTGTCACCTAGCCTCTGCTTCCAACTCTCTTCGGACCTGCTGGTTTATGGAGAACTGCCTCGGGAGCACTCACAGGAGGCCCACAGCATTCACAGACGCTAAAGGTGAAGTCCCTGCAGGGACCCGAGAAGGTTCTCATCCTCCTCACACCTCTGCAAAGACTCTTGGACACCTGGAGACTGAACACGGATCCTGCCCTCCATCAGGTGAATAAAGCCCCACAAAACATTTCACATCAGTTCCTATTCTCTGAAGGCAACCAGACCTCAAATAGTCTCTAAAAGACTGAGGAAAGATTGTCCTAAAGTAAAAATGTGACCTGAAGTTAAAAATACACTACCCACTGCCATTGGTCTCTCTCTCCAGGCTCTCAGACTTTCAGGAGGGTCTGATGAGAGGAGTGAAAACGGGGGCTCAGCAAACCTGGGTCAGTGGGACCAGTCTCTGAGCAAGATGCTACCGGGAAGCCTCGGCCCACATCCCTGCCACTGTAGGATGGGCACAGGCAATGCCAGCTTAAGCCTGGGAGCTGCATCGATTACACCGTCAGCGGGGCCAGCAGGCGAGCAGACCCCATTTCTGCCCTCACTGCTTCATTCCATCATTCCATGAAAGTGCCAAAGCTAAGACACGGGTCACACACTTGTCTCAAAATTGTAAGAAATGAGACAATTCATAGAAATGGACAGATTGGGGAAGAAGAATTAGGGGAGGACAAAAATAACCTGATAGAAATTTTAAGCCAACTTCACGTTTTAAAGGTCCCTTTCGTGATGGGTGGAGCTAGATGCACTAATAGGTAGAAATCTTTCATTTTTCAAATATTAGTGAATAAAGAGTTCCCTCACATAAAGACTTCACGTATTATTTCACTGTTATTCTGTTTACAATTTTTAATGAAAATTCCTAGGGATGAGCTCTCTGCTGTTTAGCTGGAGGGAACCAGTGTTTTCCACAGGCAAGCCCGATGGGTCAGAACATACCCAGATGCCCATGAAAACAATTTCTCCTTCTCTCAGGGGAAAGCAAGACCCACTCTGATGGAGGTGACTTGTTAGAGTTTTTGTTAATAAAACCAGCATCCTGAATGGGAAAGGGAAAAAAAAAATCACCAGGATTATTTCTTCTAATGCTAGAAAATAAATAGGAAAGTTCAATTTCTCCTTTTAAAAATAAAGCCACAAATCAACCAAGCAACAACATGGAAAGTAAATGACCAGCCCCCCTTCCATGGATGTGGCCCCAAATGCCTGTGGCTCTCTGCTTGCGCTCGATTTCTAAGCATCTGTGCTCGGAGGGAGCACTAGGAAGTTAGCCCGTTCAATCATGCAGCAGTTAGTCCTGTGTTTTCCCGTGAGGATGCATACACAGGCACTCTCTACCTCTCTCCCCAACAAAGCTACAAATCCCTGCTGCTGGGATGGCTAACTTTTCTACTGGAATGCATCTGGGGCATTTCCTTGCTTTGTGTCTTAAATGGCAAGACCCTTGAGCCCCCGTCTTCGCTCTCATCAGCAACCCCTCCTCTGGTTCCATCTCGGCAGTCCCGGGTGGCTCTTCCCAAGCCTTAGCCGTCCCAAAGAGGCCAGATGGTTGTAATCAGTCAGCCAACTTTTTAGCCAGCATTACATACGTCATTTGTGTAGAAGTCTGAAAAGGTTTTATGCTTTTTACATTGACTTAAGAGATTAAAAATGAAACCATCATCCGTCTCATAAATAAGAAATTATTTCCAAGGCTGCCGACGGCTTGGGAAGGTCCTCGGCGTCATGTGCCTGTGGGAGACATCAGGCTGGTTGAGGGGCTCGTGGACAGAGGACATACACAGCTCCTCTTACACTTGGCATCTTCAGGTAATCAATAGTTACCCTGTGTTCATCTTCTTCTCCAATAAACGGATGAGAAAAAACTCAACGACAGCAATCTCCAGGGTTGCGCAGGATGGGTACTGCTGTGGGGGGACGGGCCCAGCCTCCGTAACCGGCAGAAGACAGCACCACACACCCCTGGGCTCCGAGGCAGGCAGACGCACACACCTGAGCTAGGTCAACAGGAAGCCCACCCCTTTGCAATTCTTTTTTGACCAGTCTTTAAACCATGGTCCACTGATTTCTTCTCTAGGTCACACCAAATAACCCCAAGCAGACAGAGTTCTTGACAGAGTTGTTGAAGGAAGGCCCACAAAAGACAAAAAAGGCTGCACAGGTGATTGCTGGCAGAGCAGGAAGGTCTGTCGGCTCGTCCTGAAGAAGTCCTTTCTTCCTCAGGCTGCCAGAGTCTACCTGGCCAAACTCCCTCTGGGCTCTTCAGACCACTGGAAGGAAGGAGAAACAAGTTAAGTGCTGCAGGCCAGCCCCCAGCCGTGCTAGGAAAACAAGCTTGGGACAGAAACTTGGAGATGCATCAGCCAAGGTCACCAGGTTCTCTTGGGCAGTGAGGCCCAACTCCAAAATTCCTCTGGTTTCAACCTCAGGGGCAGCAGCTTCTGAAATTGTGCTTCTGGTGCCAAAGGCAAGGCTGACTGAATGTGAAGTGAGGCACAGCAGCAGAGAGTGGGGATGCACCGTGTTGTGAGGAGAGTCAGGCCAGCCTGCGGCCAGTTCCCCTGGAAGGGATGGCTTGGCGGGCAGCTCGTGGGCTGGTCCAGGACTCTGGTGGCAGAATGGCTTCCCCCTCAGGCCAGCTAAGAATGGACCTATCTGTTTCTCAATGGGTGGGGCTCTGAGGTGTCCTCTGTGGCTCACGGGAGGCAGCAAGGACCTAGCTCCCGGCAGCTCTAGAGTCCAGCGCAGCCTGGACATCTTCCTGTCCTGGTCCCTCCCATGGCTCCTCTGGAGGTGGACAGGTGCGTATCATCTCAGGGAGCGGGCTTCAGCCTCAGGGGCCATCTCAGGAGGCTCAAAGCTAATGTCCTCCCAAATGTGGGCAGAGAAGTAACATTAATAAGAAACTTCCTCTACCTTAAATGACTCTCCTGAGGTGCACACAAATGGCACAAAATCTACTATAAATTTTCTTTAAAAGATTTAAACTATTTTTCTATTGGTTCCAAGCAACAATATAAAAACTTCATTAGCTCAGTGGATGGTCCTCTGAGGCAGTGGAAGAGAGAGGGGAGTGGGGCCTTCAGAGGCCCTGGCTCTCATCCTAATTCCCCCGTGGACTGATGGTTGGACCCAAGTGGACCTCTGGCAGACTCAGTTTACCGGCATCACTCACTAATCCTCCCCCTCCTAAGGCCATTGTAAGGATTAATGGATTAGCATCCTCAAGAGCTGTGGGCCCCCTAACTAAGGAGGGCTGCTTCTGCACAATTACTATGGCTCCTGAAGAATACACTGCTCCTGGGCCTTCAGCGCCTTCTGGGGCCGATCGCCAAGAGGTTTAATGGACACGTTGGAGTTCCAGCTTCCCGCCGCCCTTCTTCCTACCCTCTCCATACAAGCGTGAGCTTCTGGAATGCCAACTATTAACTAGAGGAGGTCCCCCTTGGGGGATGAGCCTGTGGTGACTGTCTCCTGTTCTACTACTTCCCTGAAAAGGAACTTCAAACTTATGATGGGCTCTACTGGTCACAAGAGCAGTTCAGAAAAACTTGTTGATGTGTGGCTTTCTAGGGCTTGTCTGGATAAAGGAGCCATTTGCCTCCGTGAGCCCCAAGCTGGTCATGCTCAGGTGAGGACTCCTGAGATGCGGGTTTGGTCCCACTTCCAGATGCCCAGTATTCTTCGTGGATGTCAGTGAGAATAGTCACAAAACAGTGGTAAGCTTAAAGATCACAGGATCCAAGACTAGAGTCCTGCGAGACCTGTGGGCCAAATCCCTCCTTTCACCGATGGGAAAGGGCAGGAGACTTTCTCAAGGGAAAGAGAATGAACATCAGTTGTAAGTCTACAGTTTGTGATACGCTCTACTCGGTCCTTTGTATCAGTCCTCATTCAACTTGCACATCTTTTCAAATAAGAAAACAGAGGCTCAGAGAGGCCAACCAACTTGTCAAAGGTCACAGAGACCAGTAAAGATAAAAGTGCTTCCTTCTGAGTAAAACATACCTTAGGATGAACCTGACTTGGGAGGGTAAACACCCTCTTCTTGCTTCGCCCTCTAAGAACGTCTGCCCTGCCCTGGAGAAGGCGGTGGTTTCTCCACCCAGCTGCGTCTCCCAAGGGAAAGGGGCCCCTCCTCGCCGCGGCCCCTCACCTGTTTCTGAGTGGCAGCACGCAGTCCTTCCCTTCAGCAGGGCACTGGGCTTCTCGTGCCGGCAGACCAGAGCCTGGCACCACTCACAGTGTTTTCGGACCTGGCAGCAGCTGTGGACAGAGAACACGGGCTGGGCAGGAGCCTGGGGGCAGGGGTGCAGCTCTGGCCTCTATGGCAGCCTTCCCGTGGAGGCCTCCGGAGGGCCGGCCACACACAGCAGGGGGCTGAGCGCCTTGTAGAGCGGTGGCTTTTGGGGCAGATGCTGGCCAGCAACAAAAGCTGGCCCCTCAGGGACTGGCTCTGTGAGCACAGCTCTGCTCCCGGCTTGCGGGGCAACCTGGCCGCCTCCCTGGCTGCTTTCTCCACAACACAGCAGGTGGGTCAGGGCTGGGACAAAGCAGCCACTGCCGGCTGGCAGGGCTGTGAGGGCTTGGGGAGGGCAAGCATCCCTCACGTCTTGCCAGCAGCAAAGCAAGAAACGTGGATGGGCTGAACGGACCGTGGGAAGAACGAGAGAATGAGTCACGAACCGCCACGGCTTTGAATCTCTCCGTGGACTACCATTCTCCAGCTGTGGCAAACCCAACCTCTTGGGGAACCCGTGTCACCTGGAGCCCTGGAGCGCCAGGGTCACGAGTGCTTCTGCCTCCCTCTGTGGGCGGGAATGAACAGCGTGCAGAGTTTGCATGAGAAAAGAACCAGGGAACCCAAAAGAAGGGCAGAGAAGAAAGCACTAAGGAAGACATTGATTATGTAGATATTTAGAGCTGTCTCCCATGGGATACCACGGAGGAATTTGTTTCTACTCATTCTAACCTCGACACGTGCCTAATCCATGCATCCACACACGGGGGCTGGGCAGGGTCTCCGGGTGGACACAGGCCCAGACACAAATGAGAAAACAAGCCTGTTGCTGTGCTGCGCCCTTGATGCCTGGTGGCATCGCATGATCCCTACCCTAGCCCCTCTCTTGGCACTGTCCGGGGAAGGCTACGAGGGCCCCCGAATCTTTGGGCCGCAGCGCTGAGAAGGAGCCTGAGACCTTCCTGCATAACATACTTCTGTCATGGGCGGCCAGAGCAGTCTGATTCCAGATCCATTATCAGAGATTACTCTTTTGCAGTTGGCTAGCAGTGGGCTTATTCCAGTCACTTCCTAGCAAGGAGCATTCCAGGGCAGTGAGACCAAGGCCTCCAGGACCCTCTGGCATAGGATAAGCTGGTCCCAACCAACTCTGCAACTCAGGAGGGCCCCATGCGCAGGCAACCAGCAGCCTGGTTAGGATAAGGGCTTAGTCTCTGGCTCAGGGATTCTGGACTTGGTCTCTAGGAAGGATCGGCTGGGAAAAGACAGAGGGGAGGTGGGACCAGCTGCCTTCCTGGGAAAGAGAGAGGCCGTCCAGGCATCCTAGACTATCCCTGTCTCCAGAGATTCTGGCAAAATTTGCTTTTAAATCCCTCTGGAGAAGCTCAGAGGGGCATGCAGTTCTTGTTTCTGAGGCTCTGGGACCCTCCTGGCCACAGAAATAGAGGACTACGGACATGATGGGTGAGCACACACAGCTAGACAACCGTGAGAACCGCCCTCATGTGCGGCAGAGCCCGGGCTATGTTCCAGCCCGAACCAGGACTGCTTGTCCACTACCTTTCCCAAGACAGGTGGCAGGGGGACACATACTGCTTGAAGAGGAAGGAAAGGCCGGCTCAGTTCAACCTCATCCCGCACCACGTAAGGCTGGCTTGGTCCACAGGGACTGAAATTAGGGCCACCATGAGCAGGGTGGGGCTCTACGGGGCATCCATTTGTTGCCAGAACCAGAGGCGGGTATGTTGCCCCAACAGCAACAAACCAATAAACAAAACAGGACAGAGACTCATAATTACCTGTCCAAACTCCACACATCCTCAGAGGGCTACAGTCTGGCTTCCTTCATTAACACATAGCTGCTTCCTCCGGCCTTTGCCGGGATGGCCCATCCACTACCGTCTCTATCATGAGTTAATCTACACTGAGCCGACTGGGAGCCTTTAGCTCTTCTGTGAATTCCTTATGCATAGCCAATTAGGTATAAATTCTCAGAGGCCTTGCTCTGTGAATTAGATGTCTCTAGATATTTCCAGGGACTACATCTGGCCAGATGCTGTGAACACAGCACTAAGGAGTCTCCCTCCATGGAGCAGTCCAGATATGGGCAAGCAAGTAAGTCCAAGAAAAGGGTCTCTGTTGGTCTAGGGCTCAGGAAGGCTTTCTGGAACATGCAAGATGGGTTTTGGAAGATGCAGGAGGGGCAGAGAAGTGGAGAAAGAGGAAGGGCTGCCATCAGCCTAGCCTGTCCAAATGGCAACCGAAACCTCTGATGTGGCTTTGGGATTTGCAACGTGCCTTCGGCAGAAAGGAAGCACCTCTGTCACTTGCCAAAGGAAGCTGGGAGCCATTTCTAGCTCTCTGGAATGCCTGCACGTTCCCATCATAACTCTGAAGGCTCCAACCCCAATAGTGGGGAAGGAGCATGCACCTTTGCTTCTCCACTCGCTTCCAGCAGTGCGCAGACCCACCGTTGGGGACCCTCCCAGGATGCGTGCCCTTGACACAGTGTGGCCGTTACTGAAGTTCCTCTCGGCTTCGCTGACACCAATCAGACACCACAGCAATAAGCCACGCCGAGGGGCCCCTGTCATCTGGGCATGCTGCAGATGGCCCGGTGAGGGGGACCTGACATTAGGGGTGGCGGCAAATACTTACTGTATCAGCACACACGCGATGATGAGGACAGCCAGGGCCACAATGGAGACCACCACCAGGGCGGTGATGGCCTGCTTCTTCTGGCTGGCGGCCACCACGGCCAGGAGGTCGGCATGCTCACAGCGCGCGCCCACGTACCCAGAATGGCAGCTGCGGAAGAGAGGAAGGTCAGCACGCTCTTCTGACAGAGCTCTCGTTCCCCCACCCCCCACCCCCCCAGAGAAGGCTGGGCCAGAGGGACCCAAAGCCCTAGGAAGAGCCCCAAGGGGCCCCTCCAGCCTTCGCGACTGGAGGCAAAGGTGTCTGCAAACTCGCTCCTACTTCCCCACATGGGTACCTCTTGCTTGGAGAATGAGGGGCCACTGATCAGCTTGCTCGTGTGAGGAAGCACTTCACTGTTATTGCTACCATGTCAGAGGCTGGGGATAAAGAAGGCAGCAAGTGTGTTTAGGACACCAAGTTCATTTTGGCAGTTCATAAAACCCAGGTTATTTTTAAACTAAGTGTATATATTCAGAATTTGATGATAAGAGAAAGAAAACACACTAAACCAGACCCGGGCTGTGGTTTGCTTTTTTATCGTTTTCATCAAATTTAATTAGCCCTGCGAGCATTTACTGGGGCGGGGGGGCAGCGCACAGGGTTAGTACTGAAGTTGGGGCCAGTGCCACCATCTGGTAAACGCAGGACCTGGGAAGCCACCAACCTGCTTCTCACTTCCAACACCTGGTCTCGTTCCACTGGAGGATCAGCAAGGGCACGAGAGAGGTCATGCCCTTGAACATGCCCTGTGGCCTGTAACGGTCACTACCTATACCAAGGTGATATTACTGGTATTACTAATATCCAAAGGCTCTTTCACTTTAGTAACAGCCTCCTCCTGTATGCGGAAGGCTGATGCTGCTCAGCACCCCCTTCCTGGGGCCACCCAAGTGGTTCTTGTAGGATGATCCTTAGGACTGGTTCCAGCCATAAGGAAGGGATGGTCATTTTCTGCTGCAGCCATTTCCTGCCCCCCGCCCCTCCAAGCATATGAGTCTGCTCAACAGAAGATACTTTGCTTATGCACAGGTCCCATTGTCCAGATGACTTTGTTATTGTAAAGAAAATGTTTGATCACCACTGTCTTCTCAGGTGGGGAAGCTTCTTTCCCACAGGGACTTCCCCAAGAGCAGCCCTGCACCAAACATCACACACTGGATTTAAAGTTTTTGTTTTTTTCCCAAGACATGGCAATGATAGCTAAACTTTTTTTTTTTTTTTTTAAGAGCTCTACCTTTTGATGAAATAGCCAGTCTGCCACCTTCACGTTTAGATTAAAAGGCCTTTGAAGAACAAGGAGAAAGAAAAGGGGATTAAGGGTCCTGCTTGCCTTCTATTACATTTGTGGTTCCCTTAAACCTGTGCTCCTGGGCTTTCAGACCCCAGATGCCAGAGGGAGACTTAGGGCCACAGGATAAACACGGTGTATTTTTCTGGAGCATAGGTTTTGCTTAATGTTAACAAAAATTTAATCATTTTAATGTTCAAGGAACAGGTACAGTATGGTTTAAAGATTTATGCCAAACAGGAGATGTTGCAAAAATTGCTGCTTAAGGCTTCACCCTGGGATAGCAGAGCATACGAGCTTGTCTTTAGCACTGCGTAGTGGAGGCCTTTCACTGAGGCTCTTTATCCCAGAGTCCACTTGTTATAACAATACGTTACTTAAAGGTATTTTTCAGTTTGCATTCAGGCCCTTGCTTTTCTGTTACGGGTTACTGTACATTTGACATACGTTTTGCCTTTTAATCCTTGCACAGAAAAGTCAAGTCATTTGCCTGTGCCACCCTGCTAGGGAAGAGAGAGAAATTCACACTCAGGTCTGCTCAGCCCAGAGTCTGGGTTCTTGCATAGCCCAGTGTCCGTGCTGCTTCCTCCTCAGGCAGCGCAGTGAGGGTCTGTGTGCCCATCTGTGAAAAGTCCAGGCTGCAGAAGGGTAAGCGCTCCCATTTCTGAAACGTTCCTACTCGGACCTGCAGGCCCTGGGAGAGAAAGGTTCTAACGCCTCCCTAACCACTTGGTTCTGTGAACCTTATGGATTAACCCATTAACGCCGGGGACTCCAAGAAATCCCATTTAAAAAAAGAGTGGCATCCAAGCGCTAATTATAACACATACCCTTTATTGTCAAATTCCTATATGAATCAATCTCTTTTGTTCCCAACAATCACAAATGCATGTGAGGTCAGGGCTGCTACTTACCTTCTTTATAGATGAGGAAATGGGGGCCGGGGGGCTCCTGGGTTTAAAAATTAACCATCTCAACCAGGAAGGCTACCTTTCTACGGTAATGCAGACTGGTGTGGAAGACACTCTGGGGTAGTGATTTCATGGCAAGCTCACAAAACTCACTGCAAGAACAAAGATGGATTGCTCACTGCCCCGTAAAGAGGTGTCCTTGCTGGGGGTGTGCCAAGTTGCCAAAGTTCCCCCTAAACAATGCCGTCTTAACTCACTAAGAAGGCTAATCTTCTGAGCTGGGTCACCTTCTGCTGACTTTCCATATTCTTCCTTCCAGAGGAACATTCCCTGTTTGTGTGCTGGGCCCTTCACAACCAGCTTGGCCTCAAAACTGCCCCTGGCAGGGGTCCTAGCCCCTTGGGAAAGTCTTCATGTCAACAAGAATGTCTCTGTCACCCAGTGTCACAGCTGTAAGTACATCTCAGGCTCCCTGAATTAGGGAGCCCAGCGTACTTGTGAACACAAACTTGCCCAGTGAGGCACATGGTTACTGCCTAATAGACGAGACTCCAGGTCATGGCTTAGGTGAGCTCTGAGAAGAGTGGATCTTTGCCCCAAGCAGCTTAACTGCAGGTGGGAGGCAGAATACCCGATCCTTGGGCTTTACCCAAGGTCAAAATCTCTCTGAAAATGGGTGTTTTGAAGAAAAGGCCAAAAGGAATTCTGATGAAGCCAGAGTTGAGAGCCACCATGAAGGTTTTACTAGTGACATCCACTTTGGCTGCCCACTGGAATTGCCTGGGGAGCTTGAATGAATCCTGAGGTCTAGGCCACACCCTAGACGAGCTACATGAATATTTCTGGGAGGAAGGCCTGTCATGAGTGTTTTTAAAGCTCCCAGACGATTCCACCTGGCAGCCACAGTTGAGAGCCACAATTTAGACTTTTTGGCCTTAGGGTAGAGGGAGGTCCTTTCTCCTCCCAGATCATTTGTAATAGTGGGGATGCTTCCCAGTTGCTTTTTTATGAGGTGGGGAAAAAGAAAAGGTTTGGTGATATAGCTTTTCTTTAAAAACAAAACAAAACAAAACACAAAAAAAAACCTTCCCAAGCTTCTACTGATATTAGACTTCATTATGCCGATTATATTAGGTACAAATCACCTAAGGAGGGGAAGAGTCACCTCACCTGGTTGCAAATGAATCAGGCTTGACTCAGCTGCTGTCCTTCCCTTTACCTCAGGTAGGCCCTGGTTCCCACCTGACTGCATAGTGGAATCACCTGGGAAGATGTGGAAAATGCCAGGGCCAAGGCCACACCCCCAGAGATGCTCATCCAATTGCACTGGGCACCCAGGTGATTCTCATGTGCATCCAGGCCTGAGAACCACGGAGGGAGACCCATCGTTTACACAAACTCAAGAACCAGCAATTCAAAACCTCCACTTCCCTTTCTCATTCCTTCTCCCCCTCCCTCCCTCCCTCCAGGCATTTCCTCAGGGTGGTAGCTATAAAACGGGCCCCCCAATTCAGGCGCAGGAGAAACGGGAGATGTTACAACCCTGTTTCAGAAAGGAATCTGAACAGAATCGGAGTTGTTTTATCACAAGGGGGAATGGAAAATGTGTGAAGACTGAACATTTTCGTACATCATTTGACCAATTTCATCTGTCTGCAGTGGGTTTTACCAAACACAAAGATCCTGGCATGCTGTTTTGTCTTCACAATTCTGAAATGAGGCTCTGGAGTCCCATTCAAGCTACTTCTCCCAAATAAAAACCAAAAAGAAAGCAGCGCACCAGGAAGAAAGAGCCCAGCACAGAAGGGAGAAGGAGGCTGGCTGGGCCGCAACAGGAGCTGGAAATAAAGGCACTGTGCCCCAGCCAGCTGGGTCCCTGAGGCCCTTCCATTTCTGTTACTCTGTCATTGCTCTGGTGCTTTTCATAGGCGCAAACTGTGGCTGTAGGCCTCTCCTTTTGAACAGGATGAAATTATTCACACTGTGCCTTTCTCACCGCTTTGCCAAGGGCTTGCAAGCCTTCCAGTCCCGCAGACTTGCTCCATTTTCTCCGGAAGTCCCTGTTTCACCTGGTTCATGGGGCCCTTTTCCAATTTTCAAGAAATAGGATAATGCATATAGGGCCATGCTCTTAAACATTTTTTTCTTAAAAAACTTCAACTGGAAAAGGAAAGTTTCTAAGCAAATAGGAAAGTACATAAATTATAATAAAGCAGAAAGGAAAAAAAAAGCTCACACTGTTGCCAACCCCACCTCCCCAAATGGCAAACGGACATGTTTCTCTTTAAACTATTTCTATCTAGTTTTTTTTTTTTTTTTTTACAATTTTGCATCAATATATCATCTCACATCTCCTCACCATGTTGCTATGTCATTAGAAAACCGCCAGGCATTTAAACTGCTGCAGAGTAATACGTGTGCGCAGCATGCTTCACCAGCCTCCCATTTAGGCTGGATCCAATTTTGATATCATAAATACTGTCGGGTAGTTACCTTAATGTACACAGCTTTGTTTGCATTTGAGATTATTTCCTCAGGATAGGGTCCCACAAGAGGGCACAATAGGGTACAGACTTTAGAGCCAAACTGTCATGGGTTCAAATCTCATTCCTTGCTTCATGCCTGTGTGAGCCTCAGCAAATTCCTTAACCTCTCTGTGCCACTGATTCTGCATCTTTAAAATGATAACAAAACTTACTTCACAGAGTTGTTATGAGAACTGCCGTGAATATCTTAGTGTCTGACCCAAGCGCTGTGTGTTAAAAATGTAAATAAAAGGATGGGAGCATTTTTAAGGCTCTTAAGAGACGTTGTCTTTATAAACAATGATGTGTTCTCTGGCAGGAGGCCAGTCCTCTTTCAGCCAAGTCTTTTGGCACAGGTCCCAAGATATGGTCTTCACTATGAGG